TTTCTTTCTTTCTTTCTTTCTTTCGCCCGCCATAGACCTGGATTCGGAGGTGAAGACGGCTAAGCAGGTCGAGGAGGAAGAGCGGCGAAGGAGAGAGGAGAGGATCATCGACAAGAAGAAGGAGCACCTCAAATCGATCGAGGTCCTCATCGACCAGCTGGAGCTTCCTGACGACGAAGAGGAAGAACTCGGTACACCGACTCTTCCTCAAAACGCCACGCCTAGCACAGCAACCCAGGCGCTCACTTTCGATCTCTTTCCAGCGCCCGTTGCTCCGACCCACCACCAGGGCGCCCTAAGACCAAGCCTGTCCAGTATGCCCCGCCCCCCTCTTAAATCCCAGCATGCAACGTACCACAACGACCAAACCGTTTTTCTTATTTTGTGGAACATGCAGTGAGCGACCAGGGCAATAAACAATCGCCGGCGGCTCTCCGAGGTATGCTTCGCCCCACCTAGCGTCACTGTCCTACCCTTATTATTGGTGGAACCCCGCTGCTTACATTCCCCGCCTTCTTCTTCTTCTTCTTCTTCTTCTTCTTCTTCTTCTTTTCTTTTCCCTACACACAGAGAGGCAGGAGTACGATGCTATCCAGCGCAAGTACAAGGAGCTCTTGAGCCTCACGGGCCAGGTATGTCCGATTGCCGCTTCGCGCGATGGTGGCTGTGGCGAGCGCGCTAACGCCGCGTCGCCTGGCTTGGCGGAAACTGCCAACACCAGCCCCTGTGGACGAGCGCGGAGGGTACAAAGGTGGACTCAAAGGTGGTGACCGCAACCGTTAAGAAGACGGTGGATCAGGCCAAGGGTCTCGCCGACTCCCCTTCCACCTCCCCAGACAGACGAGACGTACATCTACACTCTCCATTTCTTCTTTGCTTCAAACGAACATCAACGGTCGAATCAACGCCTTCAACTTTAGGTGATCATCGGCCGAGCGCGAGACTGCGTCACAGCTCTGGGGCCTTTCCTGCTCGCGGTCAAGGCTCTGAACCAGTTGATAGACGACATGCGGGGTATGCTCGATCTTGTTTTCATTTTCTCTCCCTCTCGCTGTAGGATTAGCCACACGTCAGCAAAGCTCTTAATCCCACTCGCACCTTTATGTGAGCAGCCTGCAGGAGGCCGATGGATCGGCCGGCAGTCGATGCATCGATCAAGGATGTGCAAGGGCTGCACAGCCGTCTCATGCAAGGTACAACACGTCCACGCCTGCACGCTAACACGTGTACGGCTGCGACTCTGAGACGCACTCACACCCCATTTTCTTTGTACAGCCTACGAAGCCTTGCTGGAGTCGTACATGTATTCTACGGGAGCGCCATCGGGCAAGTCGGCGCCCAGCTCTCGCCCGCCCGACGCCTCTCCTGGTATGGCCCTCGGCACCAGCAGCGTTCGGCCCTCCTGAATGGATCGCCACAGTGGTCACTGACGAGTTTTGTTGTTATGCACCAACCCGTAGACCCGCATTCGCCCAAGCCTCCACAGGAGTTCACCGGCGAACAGGCCAAGAATGCCATCCTGTACTCCTTCCGTGACTTCTACCTCGTACGTGCCTATCACCCCCTCCTCCCTCAATCGTCGTGGCTATAGTCCCAGAGTGGAGCTAATCGGGCTCCGCCTGTTATACGCCGTCGATAGAACACGGCCGCTCCGCCTGCGCCCGACACGCTCGCCCACCTCAGCTACGTCCCCTGGCAGCCCACCAGGTACCTGGCCGTACACCATGAGCTGCTACTCGATTGAGAGAGTAACGGGTGATCGGTTGTCCAGGGCCATGCGCGAGTATTGCAGCGACGCGATCCAGTTGTTCAAGCCCATCGTCGAGGCCGTCAACTCTCCGCTGGCTTCGCTCCACTTCCGAAGCTTTGCCGACCTCGTCACTAAGGTGCGGAGAGAGAGCTCTCGTGGTGTGAAGATAGGACCGTTAACGCCGACATGGTGTGTGCGCGCCTTCTAGGAGATCGAGCTGCTGGTGCCCATCGCCAAGATGATCCAGCACGACCGCTACAAGTATGCTGCGTTCGACAAGTTCCCGCTGGGGATCAAGGTCTTCATCAACTCGGTCGTCGTGTTCGTCGACGCCGTCAGCGTCTACAAGCAGTACGGCCTTATCATACCGCATACGCGCCGCCACCATTGGTGCGCTTCTCACCACCTCCTTGCCGTGACAGGCGTGGCGGCAACGTCGAGTTGAGCACGGCCAACCATCGGAAGGACGAGCTGACGAACGCGCTCAAGATGCTCCTCGCCACCATCCGCAAGGTCATTGACAACGCCGGGCCGTGAACCAAAAACCTGAACCTTCCAATTCAAAAATCATCTTAAAAACAAAAAAAAAAAAAATGCAGCACAGATGCCGTGATGGAGACACCCAGCGAGTGCCATGGTATGCAGGCATCACCGCACCCCTGTTTGGGATTATTTAAGGCGTAAATGGTGGCGCGGGGTTGGTGTCAACTCATTGAATTTTCGCCGTGATAAAGTTCGGCCGAGCGAACTCAAGCTTGGCTTTTTTGGCGCGAACTATGGTTTTCAGCAGCAGCATCTTTCTGCAGCATCTGCAAAAACATGGCCACGATTGCCTCCACCTACCGACTGAAACCGGAGAGCACGCTGAGCACTATCCGGCCTGACGAGACTCTACTTGCGGCTCCCTTGCGCGTGTGGAAAAAATGGGTGCCCCAAGCCGTCCTGGACAATCATCGATCGAAGGTGCAAGAGCTGGAAGCAGCCCCAGGTATGCAGGAACAACAAACGTTTGCT